TTCTCTCTACTCGGATGACTGACTGCGCCTCAATCATGACTGACTCATATTCTCGTCTGCTGTCGGAGCCTTGCTATGTTTTGAACATAATTATTTTATATTCTCAATCACGTATTTCGCTTTTGGAGGTTAAAGGGGCTCAATCTAGGTTCAAACAAATACGTTGTTTAAAGCCTTTTTTATTATCTTTTATATTGAACTTAACATAAAACTTTAATGATTTAATTTGAGAAGAAAATGATAAATTTTTATTATTATTTTCATACATTTGAAATTTAATATAATATTTTATTAAATACATTATTTAACAATTAATGCGGTTAATGCCTATGTTTTTATTGTATTTTATATTTTACAGTTTGTTTTATTTTTATACATAATGATCAATACATATTATTAATAAATCGGCATGGTGCTTAACAATGTTTTAGTGAACTTACAATTAGAAGTTAGTCGTATGATAGAGGTAGTTGTGTGAAATTAAATTTTCATTGTTTTAAAAAAGAAAAATAAAAAAATACTCTTTTCATGTAGATTGAGATGAGAATAAAAGTACAATCTACATTTTTCTCTTTTGAATACTTTAATTGTTAATTTATAAAGCTTCTCTATAGGCAAATAATGGTATTTGAAAAGAGATAAAATTTGAGAAAACTATCTGAAACCAACGGAATTGAGTATAGATTGGAAAATTAAGTCAAACTGGTAATGAATAAAAATAATAATGCTGCGAGATAGTTTTTATATTTCTGATGATCAGGCTTGATTGGATATGCGCTAAAAAATTTGTCTCGCTTGAGCGATTTTCCATATTTTTTTTTGTTCGTCAGCAGGCGTTTGATTGGCACCTAATAAATTCAACCCCATCCAAAACCGGCGGGACAATATGTTACACACGTAGTTCGTTTATCAGCAAATGTTTTGCGTAATATTTGCGCAAACGGTTGCATTAATGTCATCACTCTCTCCTGCTCGATTTATCTGGGGCGTTATCTTGTAATAAAGGCCGCTTTGCACAGCAGCCGCAGCAGCTGAAAAGAAGCAAGGGTTCGGCGGCGGCGGCGGGCGCGTCCACCGACCATGCAGAATATGCAATTACAGCTTCTCTCTCTCTCATTCATTCGCCACGTATGTATATTAACGGCGGCGTGCGCCGTTCGTTCGATGGATGCGATGATCGAGAGTGCGATATATATTCCAGCAGCAGCGGGCACACATTCATCAAGTCATACTTCACTGCCTGCCCACACGTGCATTAATGGCTAAATCGCTTTTGAACTCTCCTCAACATGCACAATATCGTGCCACTAAATAGGCTGCAAAATAATGTGGTTGGTCAGAGAATCAAAATTATTATGACAATTGTAAAATAATTAAAAATTTGTGTTTAGAAACTTACAAATAATAAACACAGAAATGCTTTTTGTTACAATTTCTCTCCGCTCAATTTTATTTTATTTTTATTGAGTCCATTTTAAAAATCAATTTAAACTGTCAATTGCCACAAGGGAAATGTTCTGCGTCAGCTCTTTGCATCATTTTTTATTTTATCGATGATGGAAAAATAAATAAAAAACGGCATTCAATTCATTCAAATGAAGCGTGTGCCCTTCGACAACGAGGGTGGAGCCTCGCTTGTCAGATGCAAACCTGCTGCCGGCTGCGCGGTGCTGCGATGCACAAAATGAAATGCACGCGAAACAAATTTATCTTTATTTTAAATGCAAAATACGCGACTCAATTTTATTTTTCGTTCAGCGCCACCGCTTGTTGGATTTGCGGCTGCTGATCGAAATGTCATGAATATTAAATAGGCCGACCGCTTTTGAAGCGGGCACAATTTTTATGTGTTTTGCATTTTGCTCTCCCTCCGTCTCCCTTTCGCGTCAAATGCGTTTTAAAGCTAATAATTCCGGCACCGACAGCCGAACACAATAATAAGTCAACATATACTGGACACCAAGCTGACAACTTTTTTAAATGACCTGTTCAGCGGTTGGCAGGTATTTTGAATATACACTTCAGGGTTGTTTATCTGAAATCGCGAATTAGAATTTTCAAATGACAAATAATAGAATGAACCAAATACTCAATTTTTATGCGATCTAAACATAAATAATATTGGAAATTTAAAATTGAGTATGATTTATATTTTTTAACTTTTTAGATTTTATATTTGTTAGGGATTTTGTGTATCCACCTGATCAAGCAAGAGAAGATTTAAATTTCGCAAATCAAAATCCACCACCCTCATTATTTACACGCGTGTTGAATGCAAATGATTTTGTGGAAGCAAGGGCAAATATCCAATCCGTGTGTATGTGATGTATCAACTGCGTGACCCCTGCTTGCCCAGTTTGTAGACTTTGCAAATTGAGGTTTGCGCAAATATGTCGCGCGTATCAACGACAGTCAACTTTCCACCTGATGCTGTAACTAATTATTGCATGCACGAGCAAAAATAAATTTATTCTGAAAGAGAAAGATATGTGAAAAATGGAAGCGATAATGGACATTTGATAATACAATGTCTCGCTATTATTTTCTGGTACTGTTTTCTTTAATTTTACAATCAAGACAGGTCTTCATCGCCCTTTGAATTAAAGTATTATTATTATTTAAAAAAATATATAACCAATTAATTGCGAAATATTGTGTTTGAATTAAAATAGCACTGAACAAATGTTAAAAATTGTGGACTATAAGCAATAACAATAATAATTAAATATTATTAATTTAAAAAAAAGATTTTAAGGTCACAAAAATTGTTATCTTCAAAGCAAAGAAAAGATAAAAAAATTTTCTTATAAAATAATAATAATTTGGAAACATTTTTTTTTCTTAATTTTGACAATTAAAATTTCATACTTCAACCAAGTTATTTGCTTGACCTTACATTATAGGTTCACCATTCTTTAGTGAAGAGTTAGTGCTAATCTTTTTGCTTATTGTTAGATTAAACACAGCAAAAACATTGCAGCTCTCATCAGCTTGTTGTTTGTTTGATGCAGAGTTAAACGTTTGCACTCATTAAACGCTGTGCAAGTAATTTTGATGCATACATCACTGAAATAATGAAGTAATAATCCGCCCATTGCTGAGAACCCCTGGCCGGAGAACAATAATTATCACCACATAAAACAAACGGCCAGCTCTTCTGCCAACAGACTCACGTACGTAGCCATTCTTAAATTACTCGTCGCTCGGAACAATCATGTATAAAGAGTGTCGATTGGCAATTTCGCTTGATTGCGGCCTCGGCAGTACATAATGGGCAGAAGAAAAATACATCTCTCCTCTCTCGCAAAAGGCAGAGAGGAAATATGTATGTAATGGGAAAAGCAGCAGGTATTGCACAAAGGGCCGCGCGTGATTTCCAGCAATTTAGCCATGGAGTTACGTAAACGAGACGAGCCAGACTTTTCCCATTTAATAGAAAGATAATTCCGCGGTAATTTGTCTTCAGAGCAATCTCGAGCGCGCAATCTGCAAAGTGTGCGGAATGAAAGCATTTTTATTTTTTGTTGTTTGTTTTATGCTTTTGTACCACGTAGATTCTTCTAACAGCAAAAGAAGGAGAAAAGATGCTGGGTGGGAAGGAGTAAAAAAACCAGTGATACTTTTGCAAGATAAATTCGGCCCACCCAACTTGAACCTCCTGATATTGACTCTGACTAATGGCAAACTCTTGAGCTAATTCTGAGAATAAATATGGTGTTGGTGTTTAAAATATGATATAGAAAACGATCTTCAATTTTTTAGAACTATTGTTATCATACTATACTTTTAATATAATTTTTATCTTGTAATTCACCCCCTAGATTTGTTACGAAATATAAAAAATAATTTTATATCAAGTCTGAAATATTGAAAGAGAAAGTACTAAATGAATGAAGCAAAAATTAAATGACCCATTTATCAGTAAATTAAATAAAGTTTTGCAAATTTCAACTATAATTAAGCCCACTTACATATATAAAATTTGTAAAATTTGATGTAGGTTTTAATCACATTTAAAATTAGCCGAAAATTAAATTTGTTTAGGATGACAGAAATATTTTTGGCGAGTGCCAGAGTTGGAATTCATCCCGCTCTTTCATATCTGCCAATGCAACAAATAACAGCCGAATTTCAAACGCACGCGGAAAATCAGGTAATAACAATTCGCCAGTGGGGCATTCAGCATACTCACTCAATTCGCAGCAACTGCGTTGCAAATGAAAGCAAAGGCATTCCTTGCATTCCTGCTTCGGCAATAAATCATCATCAAATGATAAACTCTCACTTGCATGACTCATTTGCATGCCGAAAGGGTGGTTTGCATTGCGTTGTGATATATATTTCCAGCCGGGAGCTAAAAGTTTCGATTGTGGGACGCGTGCGCATTCCTAATGACAAAAAAAAAATTAATGGTTCTTAAAATATGTATAATGATTAAAATAAATTATATCGCTTTAGCAAACAAAAAACTTGATTAGTTTGGTTTGCACGACATCATTTTTGGAACAGAAAGGAAAGGGAGAACGAACGAGGGGCAATAAAAATTCATGAGTCTCATCAAGTAAAAAATGGTCGAACTTTTTTAACCGCTTTTTGATTCTGTCCTTTTGTTTTTTCTTCTACGACTCTCTGCTCCTCTTTTTCATATTAGCATTCAGATGAGGTTTGCCAGAGAGCGACGACAAATGAATAGGAAAAATGTGATTTCCATACCACCAAGCAGAAAAGTCTCTCGAAATTGCTCTGCTATCGTCTTTAACGAAATAAATGTCATCGCATCGCTGAATAAGGGGAAAGAAAAATGTAAAAGTTGACACCTCTCGTTTAATGGTTTTAGTGAAAGATCAATAATTTATAGGCTTCTAGCACAAAAGTTTCAAATATGAAAAACGTAATTTAATGTTGTCCTGTTAAATTATTTATTATAAAATGAATCTCGCAATGAAAAATTCAGAAGTACTACCAGAATCTAATTTTTTATTGTATTTTCTTTTTTCAGGCTTTTAAATTTTTTGTAGCCTTATCAATTAAATGAAGATCCTTCACACACGTAGTAGGCTTTATTTCCACATGACAAATCATACCAAGCATTTTTCCTGTGAATATCCTGTAAAATAATATCATGCTTTCAAAATAAATTTCTTACAAATATATTCCGCAGCGCTCTCTAGGGTATTGCGATGGTTGTCCACTTCCCCAACCTTTGTAGCTCACGTTTACCCCGTTGCCCCAATGGTCATAAAATTTTTCATTTATGCAGTTGAGAGACATCCATACGTAGCTTGGTTCAAGACCTAAAATATAAAATTAATAAACCTTATTGTACTGAGGACATTCAAAATAAATTTGAAATTTCGCACCCGATTTTTTAATTAATGCCCTCACACAAGCATCTTCCTCAGGTGTTTCAGAGCTGACGAGTTCCATTCCAAGTTTATTACATTCCGCAATCGCACCTTGCCTTGTTTGCTAATAAATTTTTTTATATTCTGGAATAAAAAAAAAAAAATTATTTACCACATCTTTTGTTAGTCTGTAAGTGGAACTTGCTAAATTTGAGCATTAAAAATAATTGATGCATCTATTTTTAAGCTTTACTAGCAGGACAGCTTTTGGACGTAGTTGTAATAGTGGTTGAAGTTTCGCATGCAAAATATCTTACGTCGGTGCATCTTTTATTCTGCCACTTTCCAGTACTTAACACGTCAACGTTAATAAACAATGTTTGATAAAAAAAAAACTTAATTACGCCATTAAGACGCAATATTCCTTTGAAGCTCCACTGGGGTAGCTCTTGTCCCACGAAGTGTAGCTCGGGGCCACATCATTGACCCATTTGAATTCCGTTTTGTTGATCGAATTCAAACCAATCCAGAATTGGTGCTCCAACCTGTCTATTTTTTTTAAATCTCTTTTTTATCTATAGGCAAGATTGAAAAATACTTTGACTTCGCACACATGCCATAAAACGATCGTAGTCTGACTGGGTTTTCAGAACAACCAAATCTTGGCCCATCCTGTTGCAGTCAAGTCTTGCACTTTCCCACGTTGTCTTATCATAAGAAAATTAGACTCGCTTGTGTATAAAACAAAAAGAAATTCATACCAGCGCCGTTGATAATTTGTAAACTGAAAATAATGAAATCGAATTATATGGCAATGCGGTGTTTTTTGCAATTTTATACCCCCATTAGGACAAGTAGGTGCAACTGTGGTTGTAGTTGCGGAAGTACTTTTGGAAGTTGAGATTGTGGTTGTTGTAGAAGTGGTGGATGCAGGTTTCACCATGGTTGCAGACGTACTTTGGGAGGTAGAAGTGGTGGATAAAGTAGAAGTAGCAGATGAATTTGAAGTTTCCAAAGCCAAAGTGGTGGAAATAGGTGCACTAGATGAACTTTCAATAGTGCTTGATTTTGATCCTGATTGCGAAACCGTGGTGGTGTCAACAGCTAGTGAAGTGGTGGCTGCAGTAGTACTTTCTGTTGTCACTGCAGGAGTTTGTCCGAAGCTTCCAGAAGAAGTTTGAGCTGTACATTATAGGGCTATTTGTAATAAAAAACATTCCGAGTTCTTCACCAAATTTACTATTTCCTAATGAAGTATCGACTGAAGTTGATCCTTTTTCACTACTGGAGCTTATTGAACTTGTTTCAGTTAGGCCTTATGAAATGTTTTTTATGCTATTTGGTCTGAAATTTAATTATAAATTTACAAACCTGTTGCCGTATCATAAGAAATTCCGGTGCTATTTATTATATTTTTTTAAATCATCAATTCAAGCATTATTAGTTATTGCGTTCAACTTACGAACTTTCGGTGCTTCCAATAACTTCACTATTAGTTGATGCGTCTGTCAATAATTGTGTGTTTGCCACTAAGCTTTGACTACTTGAAGCATTTTGCGTGGTTCCAGTCGTGGCCTCCACGCCAGTCAATTCGGTTACAAAGCTTGTTATTGAGGCGGCGGCAGTGTGAGTATTTTGTTCAGCACAATATTTAATAATTCTTGATCTGCGCCTTACTATACTGAGCACATAAGCAGAGTTGTATTTCTTCAAAATAACGTTGCTCTTCTGAGCAACAACAGATTGAGCTTCAGTGACAGCATGAAAAAATGGATTTAATTTTATTATAAGATAAATAAGAAAAAGCTGATGTAAACCATGAAAGTCTCCCACGAACTCTGACAAGGCACATAGCACGACAACAGTAAACTGCATTTTAAATATATTATATAATTATTTAAAATTTAAATGTTAAAAGATTATTCCTTTTAAAAGAGGTGACATTTTAGTCTGAACTTTTAGTTGAAAAAGCTCCAAGAAAATTGTCTTTAGCAAAAAACCACGTTTCAATGAAAAAATTTGGTTTCAACTTGAAAAACTTAAAATAAAATTAATATGGATGATAATTGATATTTATTTGATTTCTGTTTTAAAATTTACAATGGGACTGATTTTGACACCCAAATCAACTAAAAATTATATGCTTGCCAAACTTTATTGAAATGTTTGAAAATTTTCCAAAACTATCGTCAAAATGTTTCAATGGTGAAAATTTAAATTTATTTAAAAATTATATTTTATGTAATCTAGTCCATAAAAAAGTTGCAAAGTGGTCCAGAAAAGTACCAAAATAGTACGATTAATTGAAAGAAATTATTAGCTTCACATAGAATCATGAAAGATCTACTTTCCTCATTGTTATTAAAGTTTCAAAGCAAAGTTAATAAAAACTTATTCAACTTTTTCATCACTTTTCTAGTTTAGCTAACAAATTCTATTATTTTCTCACCCATTGCGCTGAAAAAATTATCATTCCGTCACTGTTCAATGTGCTGTGAATCAGGGCTTTTCTGATAGAAAGTACTCTAAAAATTCTTTGAGGATTCCCACCAGAAGTGACGTCTATCATTAGTGCATGACGTGCGAGCATAATAAATGCACTTCACAATGAAGGGACTCGATGATTTTTTAATACATCAGATATAATGATTTTGCAGCAAATTGCAAGGGGGAAACCACCTTTTTTATTCATGATGTCCATACTGAATTTTGTATATTTTTTATAAAATGATTATATTTTTGCTCTGTGTTAATACATAATTTGTCCATACCAAATTTTCATCTATTGTTCTATTTTTGAACTAAATTAGATTAATTTTTTTCGATATTTGTTCAAATGAAAAGAAATGTTTAAGTTCAATCTTTCATGGAACAATTAATTACCTTTCTTTTAATAATTAAATATTTAAGAATATTATTTTTGAAATCTGAAGAATATCTGTTTAATTCTCTTAAGCATAATCATAACGAATATTTAAAATAAAGACTGAGTAGCGCTTCAAAATCAATGAGGCGATTGCTGGTGGTGTCGCATGAGTGTTTTTTTCCAGTGGGAAAGCGGTCGGGAGGGATATTTCGGCTTTTTGCCTGCTATAATATTGACAAAGGGTGCTGTTGTGATTACAATCCATAATATTATCATCAGAGAGAGTTGGTTCGGTTGCAGTTATCCTTCTATAAAAATGAAAAGCTCCCGAAAAATTGCCTTTCTCTCTTTTATGCCGCGCCACTCACCCCACACACGCGTTTTTTATGAATACAATTTTTTTGGTTAGATTCTTTTTATGATTTCTTTTTCATGTGCCGCCACCGCTCGCTCTTTTTATGCAGCGAACAAGCGATATTGCCGTTGCCGAATTTCGTACGGGGGTGAAGCGAGAGAGAGAGAGAGAGCATGGGAAATCATATTGCCTCTGTAATGATGATACACAATGAAATAACTTTCAGCACACAAAGATATTGCACATGTGAGCAAGGGGAGGACGCGCGCTCTCTCTTTTTTATTTTCTGAATTTCATGCCGGGAATGAACACACAATAATTTCAGATTATAAAATGCCGCGACGCGCATCACCCACACACACACACACACACTCACATGCACACGGTTCGGGAGCAGGAAATAAGGGTTGACCAAATTCTTTGCGCTTCTCCCTTGCTGAAATTAAATGTACACGGGAAATATAAATTTTCATTTTGCCACTCTTTTCATCAATGATGACAGCCGCTGAGGGGATCAGTAGATAATAAATAATATTGGCATGTGCCAGCCAATACCTTAAATATTTAATTTCCAGGATTTAATTAAAAATTACTCCGTCCATTGCAACAATTTTTATTATTTAATGAAGATTTAACTTTTTTCAAATCCAGGAAATTTTGTATACTTTAGGGATTGTTAAAATAAACAAGATAACCAATAGAAATAGATTAAAGAGATGCTTAATTAATTTAGCAACATAAGAGTCTTCGAGTTGCAATGTGACAGGTGTGGCCCAGGTCATGGTTTTGTGGCTGGAAAGAAGAGAAAAAGCGGCGGCGGCTCGATTTTCGTCCACCAGATGTGAGAGACCCAACCTTAATAAAATTACCTTCCTGCTCGTCTCATTATCGTCGGCTCTGATATCGCCTCCTATAATTTGTGGCAGTGCTCGCTGCTTTGAAAATATTTATTATAATTCTGGGGCACGCAGCGTAGAACAAGAAGAAGAAGCAGCAAGCATTTAGCTTTTTTTATTCTCGTTTTAATAATAATATTATAAATAAAGTTCTATACCTGCTGCTCTCTCGGGAGAGGGAAATTTATATTTTCGTGTCGATTAAATGTTTCTTCGGCTGCCGAGAGATAATCTTTCTGGCCGCACATTTGAAATGCAAAATGGTCGGTCTCTGATATTTATAATAATACGAAATAACGACTCAAATTATCATTCTGGCGGCTGGTTTTTTCCTCACCGCCTCCAGACGTGTGTGAATAAATATTATCCTCTCCGGTTTATAATAATATTTTCGTCCGGGCCCTGTCATTATGTATTCCAAACGGCGATTAGTGCCATTTTTTTCTGCGTTTTGGCTCGAGATCAGCGCGCGACATTTACTATAACAATTGCGCCGATTTCTCTCGGCAAGTTGTTTTTTCTCATTGTTTTTGGCACACCTTCCTTCGATTGTAATTTTCCTCCCATGGGGTGGTGGCTTGCAAGCAATTTGAATATTTGATCGCACAGAGATATTGGACCCATTCGACTGTGAGATTTGTCTCTCCGAGTGACGTCTACATGCAGCACCTCTCTCGATTTAAATTTTGGAATTGCGAAATTTCCAATATGTCTCTGCAAACGTAGGTAGAAAGGGCGAGGAGAACTTGACTCGGGGCGAGCGGCGCTGCATAACTAACAGGAGTTCGCCGGTGTTTCGTCGGGCATGAAAAACGAACGCAAAGAGGCAACCGTGCCGGCCCTCGAGGAGTGAATTCGAGTGCAAATTGTCGTCGTCGGGTTGAGCATGTGTGACTGCTCGAGTAGCTTTCGAATTGTTTCTCGGGGCTGCTTTTTGCGGCGGCACGCGTGAATGCTCGAGTTGACTCTGCAAAGCACCCCTTCGGATGCACGCACCGCGAGTAATTATTCTCTGCGGTGCGACGGGAGCAAATTGACCGACAATTTCATCTCACCTCCCATCAACAAACGCCACCACCAAAAGCTGCAAAACTTCTCTAATGACACGAAGAAAAAAAAGACACCCTTATTTTAGCGTCATCTGAAAGGATTTTATTTATTTTGTATCTTTTCCATTAATTACACACTCAGGTGCAAAAGTAAATAGGGGTGGTGTTTTTCGACACGGTTGTCACCAGGGCCGTGACAAAGTACAACTGATAGTACAAATGGAGGCACTCGAAGTGCATCTGTCCCGAGATTAGCGCAGGTGAACCTGACGCCTGTTTTTTTATCAATTGGTTCGGTCAATATAAATTCACACCCTCGTCTGATAATAACTAATTGTGGCCTTACACACACCCCTTGCTGCTTCCTGGAATAAGTCAATCGCTAATTTTAATAATTCTCTTTTATTTGCCATAGTAATAACAATAATAATAATAATAATGCATGTTCTGCAATATTATTGCTTCTGCAATATTATTGCAGTGAAGAGATTCAGGTATTTCCGCAAACATAGAATCAAGAATTCTTTTTGCAAAAACTAAAAATTTAATGTAAGAAAAAATTATTTTACATGAGAGGCTTTGTTGTTATATTATTGCTTCTTGGATTATTTTATAAAATATTTAAAAACATTTTATATACAAGTTTATAAATTATCCAAGAAGGTAAAATTAAAGCAAGTAAAAATTACAAACAAAATTTTTAATTTTATGAATTCATTATTGTTTTAATTGCAATAAAAATAATAAATATACATATTTTTTTATTGTGATGTAAAACCCTTTGGATCGGCCTGAATGATTTTTTTTTCTTCCTTCTTATTCTAGCATATTTTAGAACAAAATGTGAAATAGATTATCTAAAAAAAGATAAGTAGAACCAAAATATGCTACAAGTAAATTTCCAGACAAGAATAAATAATGTTCATTGAGGAGTTATTATTTTTGAAGAAAATTGCGTCTTAAATTGAGTGCCTATTTCTGATGTAAATTTTAATGGTCCGAATCTACACGCACGTACGTATGTGAAGACAGCTCCGTCAAAATTACTCTGCTCACAGCAATTGGGAGATATTTCAAAAAGGGGATCGCGAGGAGCGGCCTAATTAGCAATTTGACGTGCAATTACGATTGGCGCGTATTCAATTTGCTCGGTCGGCTGCTGCGACGCCGACGAGGTACGATTTGATATTGGCTGCTGCTCGGCAATAATTTGCAAGTTATAATGAAGCAGGTCTTATTACCGTGCACGTCGGCAAATTATGCATACGGCACATCACACGAGAACGGATTCGAGTATGGATGAGCTTCTCTCTGCTCTCGATCTGCGCGCGTCTTCCAATAATCTGGGAGCGAACAGAGCGAGCCGGAGCGGCTGATTACAATTATAATCCCATTTCCCGATATTATTCAATCACCCCCGGAACAAGCCCCTTATCTAATCGGGCAAAAGGCATCGCAGGCCCAAATTAAAACAGTAGTGCCAGAAACAGATTGGAGCAGATTTTCATATCGCGTCGGAAAATCCATTTTCTCATTTCTGCAGGCACGCGGTGGTAATTAGATTTTTTACGATGCCCTCGGAGACGGCTCGCGAAAGCCGGGCGAATTCATGCACACGTCGTCGGCGAGTGTGTTTTATAGAAGGAACAAAGCCCCGGCCGGCATCAGATGGAGAATATGATTAAAATTCGAAATTCCATCAGCAGTGCGAGAGGGAATATGTAAGCGAGCGAGAGACATTAGAGTGGAACCTATAATTTGAAGCCATTTCATTTATAATAAAAATAAAGCAGCCAGCCTCTCTAATAAAATAACCCTGCTTTAGCGTATGGCTGCTTGTGTGTGTGTTTGAGCAATATTATTATTTCTTGTTCCTCTCTTCTCTCGTCGAGCCACGATAATCATCTTTTTTACTCGGCTCGATTCAGTCACTCACAAAGTCAATCTGGACGATTTTAACATAATATAAAAATTAACCGACGAAAACAGCCAGCAGACGTCTGGGAATTTAATCAATCAGAGATAAACTTCAAATTGCTGAAATCCTTGAATCTTATTATTTTGCCTTTCCAAATATCTCAAGATTTTTATTTTGATCAAAATTTCAAATTTTTCTGATTAGAATAATTAAATTAAATGATTTTCATTTTTTTTTTTTTTTTTTTAAATTTTATGATATTTTGTAACTCTGTTTGATCTTCCTGATCACTTTCCAGATGGGTGTCAACTAATTTGAATTAGGATCGGCCAATGATAGTCTTTATCGGCCTCGCCAGTTCGACATCATCACAATAATTCCAGAGCATTAGCCGTGTAGCGCCC